AAAAAAAAAAAAAAATCACATATTTCCTTTAAATATGTGAAGACGTTCAACATGGACAATTATGTGGGCCTTCCTTGGGACTACCCAGAGAGTTACCACTCCATTATGTGGAACAAGTTCTTCAAGCACATTGATATCCATCCAGAGAACACCCACATTCTGGATGGGAATGCAGTTGACCTGCAGGCTAAGTGTGATACCTTTGAGCAGAAGATCAAGGCTGCAGGCAGGATTGAGCTGTTTGTTGGAGGGATTGGCCCTGATGGACATATTGGCTTCAATGAGCCAGGTTCCTAGCCTAGTGTCCAGGACTCTGTAAAGACATTGGCCATGGACACCATTCTAGCCAATGCTAAGTTCTTTCTTTCTTTTTTTTATTTTTTAGTTGTAGTTGGACACATTACCTTTATTTATTTATTTTTAAGTGGTGCTGAGGATTGAACCCAGGGCCTTGCACGTGCTAGGCAGGCACTCTAGCACTGAGCCACAACCCCAGCCCAATGCTAGGTTCTTTGATGGTGATCTTGCCAAGATGCCCACCATGGCCCTGACAGTGGGTGTGGGCACTGTCATGCATGCTAGAGAGGTGATGATCCTCATCACAGGCGCTCACAACACTTTTGCTGAACCATATGTGGACCGTGTCTGCCTTCCAGCAGCATCCCTGCACTGTGTTCGTATGTGATGAAGATGCCACCTTGGAGGTGAAAGTGAAGACTGCCAAGTATTTCAAAGGTTTAATCTTATTCATAACAAGTTGGTGGACCCCCTGTACAATATCAAAGAGAAAGAAATTGAGAAAAGCCAGTCTCCTAAGAAGCTATACAGTATTAGCCCATGCTGGGACCTACTATCAGTACCTCACAGGAAATTTTCTTTAGGAGAACAGAATTGTTTTTCTTTAGTCCAGTATGGTTACTGCACTAAGTAGGTGATTTTACTCTTCTTGGTTCTGAGGCTAGAAGCCTTGTCATGGAGTTCAGCTGTCGAATGATACATAACTTAATCAGAAACAATCTCTGAACAGTGTTCATCATTTTGATGTTCACCACACCCATGTTAGGGCTTCTTGGCTTTTTGTTCTGCCATAGCCACTGTTCACAAGTACAACACACTCCTGTGAGGAATTTCTATCCTTATGTGCACCTATTCTCAAATGGGTGGGAATTAGGGGCTTGTATATTTTGGACTTAATCTCTTTAAAGTCTTGAGACCTCCTCTTGAGCAGGAGGAGGAGAACTTAATGTGAGAACTGCTGCTTCAGGTTAAGGTGTAAACTTGATATCTTGATATCTAAATGACATACAAGGTAGTAGCTTCTCTGGTACCACAAGTACCACAGAAAGAAAACTGTTCCTTACTTTCTTTCCCCAAGTTGTTTTTCTACTCTCAAGATGGCTTTTCCATGAACTGGGAGGACTCCTTGGAGGAGGATTTGGATGGCTGGGGCTAAAGAGGTAGCTTTTGCTATTAAGTCCAAAGCCTCCAGGGGTCTATCCATGACAAATTTCTCTCCCTTTGGGGACCCAAAAGGAGAGACGTAGAAACCTTTGTCCTCTAGAGCCCCGTGTTTTTGTCAGAGGTCTCTTTTGCATACTTATCAGTAAGGAGGAGACACACGGGGGCAACAGACACTTCTACAACTTTAGTGTTGTGATCAGACAAGGTGATGGGGTAGAAAGCAGCTCTGTTTTGAGTTTAGTCACTACACACAAGTGCCATACTCTCCTGCCTCCCTCAGAGTTGAGTGCCAAGGCCACCCACTAGATACTTCTAGTATTATTGCCCCATTTAACATACCCTGCTTCTTTAACCCTCTCAGGTTTGTGTGGTAGGATCTGATGTTGTCAGAACATCAAGAATTATAAGCCTAGGCTGTGGATGTGGCACTTGCCTAGTGTACATGAGGCCCTGGGTTCTGTTTCCAGCACCGCAAAAAATAACTTGGAAAAACAAAAATCCTTTGCTCCTTTGTCCTCCAGTTCTCCTTCCCAAATATTTTGTTTCTGTTCTCCTTTTATGCCCCTAAGCCTCTGTGGAGTGGTTGCTGCCTCAGCCTCCCTGTTCTTGTGCCTGTTTGAAGCTACTGCTGCCGATTTCTGGGAAAATTCTGGCTCAGGCCTCTCTTTAAGTGCTGCCTTTGGCACCAGCATCTCATCCTTTAGCTTTTATACATGATTGTGCTGTCATTCTATGTTAAGCTAAATAGTCAGTGGACTTGTTTACAATGTGATATTTTCTATTAAATCCAATATTTTCCAAAAAATTAAAAATAAAATAAAAAGGGGGAGTGTTGGGGATATGGTTCAGTAGTAAAGTGGTAAAGTACCCCCTGGCATGCGTGCGGCCCGGGTTCGATCCTCAGCACCACATACCAACAAAGATGTTGTGTCCGCCGAGAACTAAAAAATAAATATTAAAATTCTCATTTAAAAAAAAAAAAAGAACTGAGGTTTCTGGAAGGGTAATCTGCTCAAATATAAAGTGGAATCAGTTGAGTTGAATTCTCCTGCTAGGAGGGTCCCTTTTTGGGGCCTGCCCAAGTCCAGCCAACCACTCACAAGCCACAAAAGAGCCCTCTGGGTCCCTTCAAGGAAAGTCAAGTACTACTGCCAATATTTCCCTACCCACTTCACACAACTCCCATAGTTGATCAGGACCTAGACCTAAAAAGTCTAGAGAAATGAGTAACTTGGGATAGAGGAGGAAAGGGGAGAAAGATGATCCTCCATAGTCTAGAAGCACATACTTCAGAGAGAAAGGGGCACAGGCTTTCAGGTCAGTCTGACATTAGTTCTGGTTGGTTTCACACACTCAAAACAATGAGGTCCATAATAAAAGTTCCAAGCCTAGGGCCTTCCTTCCTCACAAGCTTCTCTTCTAAAGGCTCATAAGAGACAGAACGAAAAGCTGAAGACCAGATGCTTCTCAATAGCAGCAGCTGAGCAGACCAAGACCAGACTTCCTGATTTAATCTCTTTTCTTGGAATGACTCAGACAAGAGATATTTGACTCATGCTCTCCCACTTGCTCCTAAAGTCAGAGACTCAGCATCAAAATGGCTACTTCAGACCATTTTACAATAAAAGCATTCTTGCAACAAATGGTCAGCAATGCTCTGGAGGTACTCTACTAGGAGCTTCAGTCCAATCATCCACTACTTCAGATCCCAGCCTGAATGTTACTTCCTCAGGAAGGCCTGAAACCAGCACACTCTCAAGGCACTGACCAAAGTGCAAAAGGCCCCTTGCAGGGTTATCAGCTAATGTATGTCCTCCCACTGGAAAAAGTTCATAGAGACAGGGACCATGTCTATTTACCCTAGGCTGGGCTCAGTGCCTGATACATAGTAGGTACACAATAAACTCACAGTCATCATGGTTATGTTGAAATAAGATGCTTTCTGTAAAGAACAGAAAGATCCTAGAACACAGGGGCAATTTGGTCACCAGCAGCTCCAACAGGAGCAAAGTGCCTGAGTGGCCTGAAAGATTCTATGTTCACCCATTGCCATGATGGTATCAGAGGACAGCCTTCCAAACTCTTCATGGAGAAAATAACTGCCTGGTGACAGTTCTCCAGAAGCAACACAAGGAGCCTTCTTAGAGATGCCAATGCTGCTGTTCTCAACCAAAGCGCAGTCCAAAGAAGACAGACCTCCAAGGAAATGGGAATTCCCCTGACAAGTTTCCCTGTAATCCTGGAAGGGCCACCCCACAGGGCTACTCCAGGGCACCCTTAGCCCAAGATCAAGAGTGATCCTTTCCAGGCTGGGGATGTGGCTCAAGCGGTAGCGAGCTCGCCTGGCATGCTTGCGGCCTGGGTTCGATCCTCAGCACCACATACAGACAAAGATGTTGTGTCCACCAAATACTAAAAAAAAATAAAATAAACATTAAAATTCTCTCTCTCTCTCCCTCTTTAAAAAAAAAAAAAAAGAGTGATCCTTTCCATTCTATTGGCCCCTTTCAGGATAAAAGAACATTGCCTTTTGCTTGTTTCAGCAGCATATATACTAAAATTGGAATGATACAGAGAAGATTATCATTCTGTGCAAGAATGACAAGCAAATGCATGAAGCATTCCACATATTTTTTTTAAAAACGCGGGCTGGGATGTGGCTCAAGCAGTAGCGCGCTCGCCTGGCATGAGTGCGGCCGGGGTTTGATCTTCAGCACCACATACAAAGATGTTGTGTCCGCTGATAATTAAAAAAATAAATATTAAAATTTAAATAAATAAATGCTTAGTGAGAGCTAAGCTTTTAAAAATAAGATATTTACCATTAACAAAACCTGTGGTGTACTATTAAAAAAAAAAAAAAAAAAGAACATTGCCTGCCATCACTTAGAATGAATGCTAAAGCAGCAGCCTGTTACTTGTCTCCAACTAACAATCCAGGCTGGCTGCCAGGACTCTAGGAGGGATTCCCAGGGCACTTCACTCCTACAACCAGCCAGAGGGCTTGATGCATCCCCTACATCCACCCACCATCTTCTCTGCCCAGCACTAGTCATCTGGCCCATGGCTGCTCAAATCTTCCAACTCAAAGTCCCTGACTTGGCACAAGACTCCAGGTAACACCATTTCCAATACTCTTTTCACCTCTGGTATACAAATCTATAAAACATCATAGATGATTTAAAAAGAAAAAAAACCCAAGTATATAGAAAATTATATGATAGATCAGGAACAAATCCAATACTATATATTTTATAAAAACTTACTGCAATTGAGTATAAATCACCAAGTACTTGTTTAGAGGCAAACAATATTATATTTCCTGAAAATGATAAAATAAAGTGAGATTCTGCTAATTAAAGATATAATTCGTGGGCTGGGGCTGTAACTCAGTGGTAGAGCACTTGACTTGCAGGTGTGAGACCCTGGGTTTGATCCTCAGTGCCACATAAAAATAAATAAATAAACAAATAAATAAATATATTGTGTCCATCTACAACTAAAAAAATTTTTTTTAAAAAGATACAATTTGTGTGTATGCAGTGCTGAGGCTCCAGCCCACAGTATCACACATCCTAGCCAATTACTCTAGCACACAAATACATCCTTAGTCCTAAAATGTAATTAAATAATGTTCAACCATGTGAGAATTACAGAGCAATTTACTCTCTTCAAAGTAATCTTGGTAAGCAAGAAATTTCAGAATAAAGAGTGTAGTAAATATACTAAAATGAAAACCTAAATTGATAAATGAAAATTTATGAATAGATAAAGAAAAATCTAAAAGAAATGTCTAATGATAAGCATTTACTCTTATTAGCAAATATTAAAATATAACATAATTATACCTAGAATGAGGGGATATAATGTAATAATAGTCAAAGGAAAGATGGATAAGGAAAGCAAAAGCAGAAGCATAAAGCCTCAACAAAATACTAGCAAGATGAATTCTGCAACATACAAAGAAGACTCTAATAAAACATCAATGGGGCTGGGGTTGTGGCTTCGTGGTACAGCACTTGCTTAGCATGTGTGAGGCACTGGGTTCAACCCTCAGCCCCACATAAAAATAAATAAAATAAAGGTATTGTGTCCATCTATAACTAAAAATGTTTTTAAAAAATCAATACATAAAGATAAGTTTTAGGGCTGGGGATGTGGCTCAAGCGGTAGCGCGCTCGCCTGGCATGCGTGCGGCCCGGGTTTGATCCTCAGCACCACATACCAACAAAGATGTTGTGTCCGCCGAGAACTAGAAAATAAATATTAAAAATTCTCTCTCTCTCCTCTCTCACTCGCTCTTTAAAAAAAAAATAATAATAAGTTTTAGGGGCTGGGGATGTGGCTCAAGCGGTAGCGAGCTCGCCTGGCATGCGTGCGGCCCGGGTTTGATCCTCAGCACCACATACCAACAAAGATGTTGTGTCCGCCGAGAACTAGAAAATAAATATTAAAAAAATTCTCTCTCTCTCTCTCTCTTAAAAAAGACTTTTAAAAAAATAAAATATGTTTTTTTAAATAAAAGATAAGTTCTATTTTATACATTTGTAATAAATAACCCAAAAATGAAATTAAGAAAACACGTTCATAGTAGCATGATGAGTAAGATACTTGGGAATAAATTTGACAGGCCTATGGTAAAATGTTTGCCTCACATATGTGAGGCCCTGAGGTGGACCACAGTACCACAAAAAAAAAGAAAAGAAAAGAAAGGAAGGAAGGAAGGAAGGAAAAACATTAAATTGAACCAAAAAAATGCAAAACTTACTCCCTGAAAACTATAAAACATTGCTGAAAGAAATTAAAGTAGATCTAAATAAAGGGGGAAATATCCCATGTTTATGGATCAGAAGACTGAATATTTTTAAAATGGCAATACTTCCCAAAATGATGTACAGATTTGATGCCATCTTTATCAGAATCCCAGCTGACTTTTTTTGTTTTGGGGGAAAAGGGCAGTCCTAGGGATTTAACCCAGGGATGCTCTACACTGAGCTACATTCCCAGCCCTTATTTATTCTAAGACAGGATCTCACTAAGTTGCCCAGGCAGGCCTTGAACTTGGAATCCTCCTGCCTCAGTATTTATACCAAGTCCCAGCACTATTCTTAATAAAAAAAAAATATAAGATAAAAGCAAGAAAAGAAATGTCCTGCCCCTGTCAACAGTACAGTCATGCAGGCACATGATGGCACACACCTGTAATCCCAGAGAATTGGAAGGCTAGGCAAGAGGATCACAACTTCAAGACCAGCCTGGGCAACTTAACAAAAATTTATTTAGCCACAATTCAGGATTGCTTATACCACCATGCAATAATATTCTTTAATAGTAACTTATATATTAAGCCATAAAAGCTTCTTTTCTGCATTACCAAAGCAGAATAAAAGTTCAAAGGGCACACTGAGCTCTTGTATAACAGAGAACAGCAACACACAATATGAAGAGGTCAAACCTACCATGCACATTCTGATTAAAAACAAAAGACCAGCTTTCACTCAGATCACAGTTTAAAAAAAAAAAA